CCCCCCCACCCCTCCCATCCCTGGTAACCAACAAGAATTGTTACATTTTGCGTGTGAACTTGAAAATGTGAATTCTTGAATAGATAATTGCCTTTATGAACAACTGCCTCCTTTGCCATACGACAAGAACTGGATGGTGTCTGCATACCATTACTGAACATTTTGACCAAAGATTCTATAGAAGAATCGTGATCAAAAGAGGGAAAATGTGGAACAGAAGTTCAGATTCTCATGAAATCCAGACTTTCTGGAGTCATTGAGGCTGGATGAACCCCTGAAACTATTGCCCTGAGACAGTCTTCAAATCTTAAACCAAAACTATCCCCCTGAAGTCTTCTTTAAACTAAACAAAAGTTTAGCTTAATTAGTGAAGAATGTCTGCCTTGAGCATTGTGCTCTTTTAAAGAACTATCTATATGGGATCAGGCTGACAACAGCAACCTGAAAGGTTAGATAGGAAACTTAGGGGGCAGTGAATTTACGTTAATGTGGGAGCGACAATTCGGAAAAGGACGGTGAGAACGGTTGCACAACTAAAAGAATGTAACCAGTGTTCTGAATTTACATGTAGAAATTGTTTGAATTGGTGTATGTTCTGCTGTGTATATTTCCAACAACCAAAAATAATACAATAGATTATCAAGAAAAATACAAACAATAAGTAAATAAAATGTAGATTCTGATTCCGTAGGGCTGTGGTGGGGCCTGAGATTCTGTATTTCAAGCAAGCTCCCTCTGATGCTGAGGCTGCTGGTTTAGGGACCACGCGTGGGGTCGCCGAGGCCTAAAGTTGCAGTGTTCGTGAAGAGTAGAGAATAGCAAAACTCCCCTGCAAGGCAAATGTCCAGTCTCATGCCTGCTCTTCAGCTTCAAAGCTCTCATTTCACATTGCAACCTGGGCAGGGGAGCAAAAGACAAACACAAGGTCAGCTCCATAAAGCAGAGACTGTCTGTTTTAACCCCGTCTCTTCATAACATTAAGAACAGTGTTTAGCACATAGTGTTGTTGTTGTGGTTAGATGCTGTCAAGTCATTTTCGACTCATAGTGACCCCACATGACAGATGAGAACTGCCCCATAGGGTTTTCTACACTGTAATCTTTATGGAAGCAGATCGCCAGATCTTTCTCCCGTAGAGCTGCTGGGTGGGTTAGAACTGACAACCTTTTGGTTAGCAGCCGAGCATGTAGCTGTTTGTGCACCAGGGCTCCTTTTGGTGTATAGTAGGTGCTCATAAACAGCTCCACCATCTGTCTGTCAGTTTGTCTTACTGTGGTGGCTTACATGTTGCTGTGATGCTGGAAGCTCTGCCACTGGTATTTCAAATACCAGCAGGGTCACCCATGGTGGACAGGTTTCAGCAGAGCTTCCAGACCAAGACAGAGTAGGAAGAAAGGCCTGGTGATCTACTTCCAAAAATTAGCCATGAAAACATTATGGATTATAACAGAGTATTGTCCAATATAGACACATCATCAGCTAGAAAAGAACATCATGTTTGACAAAGTAGAGGGCCAATGAGAATGAGGGAAACCCTCAGTGAGACGGATTGACACAAGAGCCGCAACAACGGGCTCAAATGATCATAAAGATGGTGCAGCACAGGGCAGTGTTTCATTCTGTTATACAGAAGGTTGCCGTGAGTCGGAGTTGAACTAACAACAACACAAATAGCTGTTGAATGAATACATATTATAGGTTGTGACCATTAGGAGTTATTTGCAAATATCCCAGGTCGCTATAAGGTCCCTACGAGTCAGAATGGACTTGATGGCAATGGGTGTTTAGGAGCCCTGACAATGCAGTGGTTAAGCACTCGGCTGCGAACCGAAAGGTCAGAAGTTCGAACCTACCTGCTGCTCCACGGGAGAAAGATGTGGTAGTCTGCTTCCGTAAAGATTTACAGCCTTGGAAACCCTATGGGGCAGTTCTACTCTGTCCTATAAGGTTGATATGAGTTGGAATCGACTTGATGGCAATGGCTTTTGGTTGATGGTGCAAAAGGTTAGGTGCTAAATTGATAACCAAAAGGTTGATGGTTCCAATCCACCCAGTGGCTCCTCAGGAGAAAGACATGGTGATCTGCTCTCCTAAAGATTTACAGCCTCAGAAACTCTATGGGGCAGTTCTACTCTGTCACATGGAGTCGTCGTGAGTGAGAATCGACTCGATGGCACCCAACAACAACAGCAACATTAACAAATACCGAAGTCTGACTGTATCTCACCTGCTGTGACAACAGTCTGGTGTTGTAGGAAAAGCATGTGCTGCTAGATTGGCAATAAATACTCATAAGACTTGCTGTGTTCATATTTCCCCTTCTGCCCCTCATTCTCTGCAGATCCCCCCAAGTGTATCTTCCCCTTCACCTTCAGGAAAAAACTCTTTTACAACTGCACCAAGAAAGGCTATATTTTGAATCGGAGCTGGTGTTCCTTGACGGATGATTACAACAGAGATGGAAAATGGAAGCAATGCTCCCCTCACAAGTAAGGTGGCCGGGGAAGGAAGGGGTGGGGTTTTTACAGATCTTCAGATGGGAAACCCTCTGGATTAGTGTAGGGGGGACGTTTAGGGTCTAGATTATCTGGTGATGGCTTAGATCAAGGGTCTGCAAACATTTTCTGCAAAGGCCCAGATAGTTAATAGTTTGGACTTTTTGGGCCGTGGAGCCTCTAATGATCTTGTTGTCTTATGCCACCTCCTGATGACCCCATGTTTTAGAACTGCCCTCCGTAGGGTTTTCTTGGCTGTAATTTTACGGAAGCAGATTGCCAGGCCTTTTTTCCCCCCGCAGTGCCATTGGGTGGGTTCAAACTGCCAACCTTTCGGTTACCTGGAGTTAAGTATTTGCAGGAGTCTCTGGGTGGTGCAAACGGTTAAATGCTCAACTACTAGTTGAAAGATTGGTTGTTCGAACCCGCACAGAGCCGCCTCAGGAAGACAGGCCTGATGATCTGCTTCCAAAAGGTCACAGACTTGGAAACACTATGGAACAGTTCTGCTCTGCACACATGGGGTCGCTGTGAGTTGGAATCCACTCAGTGGCAACTAACAACTTAACTAACAGCTGTTAGAGATATGGAGCCTTGGTGGCGCAGTGGTCCAGAGCTTGGCTGCTAAGCAAAAGGTCGGCAGTTTGAATCTACCAGCTGCTCCTTGGAAACCCTATAGGGCAGTTCTACTCTGTCCTGTAGGGTGACTATGAGTTGGAAGTTAGAGACATACAGTGCTGCAAACACTCAGCTCCACCATTGTAGCACAGAAGTAGTCACAGGCGATACATAAATAAATGAGCACGGCTGTATTCCAGTAAGACTGAAATTTGTTTTTTATTTTAATTTTTATTTTATTGTACTTTAAGTGAAAGTTTACAATTCAAGTTAGTCTCTCATCCAAAAATTTATACACACATTGTTATGTGACCCTAATTGCTTTCCCTGTAATGTGACAGCACACTCCTCCTTTCCATCCCTGATTTCCCATGTCCGTTCAACCAGCTCCTGACCCTCTCCGCCTTTTCAGCTCACTTCCCGACAGGAGCTGCCCATTTAGTCTCATGAATCTACTTGAGCTAAGAAGCACACTCTTCACGAGTGTCATTTTATGTCCCACAGTCCAGTCCAATGCCTGTCTGAAGAGTTGTCCTCGGGAATGGTTTTAGTGCTGGGTTGACAGAGAGTCCAGGGGCCATGCTTTCTGGGGTTCCTCCAGTCTCAGTCAGACCATTAAGTCTGGTCTTCTTACTAGAATTTGAGTTCTGCACCCCACCTTTCTCCTGCTCCATCAGGGACTCTCTGTTGTGTTCCCTGTCAGGCCGTAGATACCGAAATTTGAATTTCATATAATTGTTGCGGTTAGTTGCTGTCAAGTCAATTCCGGCTCACAGCAACCCCATGTGTGTCAGAGTAGAACTGCTGCATACGGTTTTCTTGACTGTAATCTTTAAGGAAGCAGATTGCCAGGCCTTTTCTTTTGAGGGGCTGCTAGGTGGCTGTGAACCGCCAACCTTTTCGTTAACAACCAAGTGCAAATTGTTTGCACCACCCAGGGACCTCATTATCTTTTTATAAGGTATCAGGGGTGCTTATCAAGATCCATCCAGTCCCACTGTTCTTACAGTTGCTATTTCCTCTGATCTTCTCAAGTTCCTGAAACATCTCACCAGCTAACACATGCCCTTCCACCAAGATACCATTCCAATTCAACTTCAGGGAGCGTTTTTAACAAGTATTAAAAAAAAAAAGAAAAGTTGCCGTCAAGTTGACTCTAACTCATGATGATCCCATGTGTGTTAGATAAGAACTGTGCTCCCTAGGGTTTTCAACGGCTGACTTTTCAGAAATAGATTGCCAGGCCTTTCTTCCGAGGTGCCTCTGTGTAGACTCAAACATCCAACCTTTTGGTTAGCAGCTGAGCACAGAACTGTTTGCACCACCCAGGGACTCCAGGATTGTTATTTTTGTTGTTGTTAGGTGCTGTTGAGTTGATTGCGACTCATAGCAACCCCATGTACAACAGAACGAAATGCTGCCTGGTCCTGCGCCATCCTCACAATCATTGTTATATTTGAGCCCATTGTTGCAGCCACTGTGTCAATCCATCTCATTGAGGGTCTTCCTCTTTTTCATTGACCCTCTACTTTATCAAGCATGCTGTCCTTCTCCAGGAACTGGTCCTTCCTGATAACATGTCCAAAGTATGTGAGACAAAGTCTCACCATCCTTGCTTCCAAGGAGCACTCTGGCTATACTTCTTCCAAGACAGATTTGTTTGTTCTTCTGGCAGCTCGTGGTATATTCAATATTCTTTGCCAACACCATAATTCAAAGGCATCAATTTTTCTTCGGTCTTCCTTATTCATTGTCCAGTTTTCACATGTATATGAAGAAACTGAAAATACTTCAATGGTTTAGGTCACGTGCACTTAGTCTTCAAGGTGACATCTTTGCTTTTCAACACTTTAAAGAGGTCTTTTGCAGCAGATTTGCCTGACGCAATACGTCATTTCATTTCTTGACTGCTGCTTCCATGGATGTGGATTGTGGATCCAAGTAAAATGAAATCCTTAACAAGTTCAATCTTTTCTCCTTTATCATAAGGTTGCTTATTGGTCCAGTACTGAGGATTTTTGTTTTCTTTATGTTGAGGTGTAATCCATACTGAAGGCTGTGGTCTTTGATCTTCATCAGTAAGTGCTTCAAGTCCTCTTCACTTTCTGCAAGCAAGATTGTGTCATCTGCATATTGCAGGTTGTTAATGAGTCTTCCTCCAATCCTGATGCTCCATTCGTCTTCATACAGTCCAGCTTCTTGGGTTATTTGCACAGCATACAAATCGAATAAGTATGGTGAAAGGATACAACTCTGACACATGCCTTTCCTGATTTTAAACCATGCAGTATCCCCTTGTTCTGTTTGAACGACTGCCTCTTAGTCTATGTACTGGTTCCTCAGGAGTACAATGAAGTATTCTGGAAAAATAACTACTTCTATGATAATAAAATCAATAGGCTAAAAAATCAAGGAAAACCCAAGACTACATAGAAGAGGTAAAGTTAACAGTGTACAGACTGTAATTGGAGCTGAGCTTCCTAGCAGCCAAGTAAATAGGAATATATAGTTAGTTACATTCATTACATTAATGAGGCCATTGGTGGATCAGTGGTGGAATTCTCGCCTTCCATGTAAGAGACCTAGGTTCGATTCTCGACCAATGCACCTCATGCACAGCTACCACCCGTCTGTCAGTGAAGGCTTGTATATGGCTATGATGCTGAACAGGTTTCAGTGGAGCTTCCAGGCTAAGACAGACTAGGAAGAAAGGGCTGGCGATCTACTTCCAAAAATCAGCCAATAAAAACCTTATGGATCACAATGGTCCATTCTGTAACTGTTTATGGGGATGGTGCAGGATCAGCCAGTGTTTTGTTCCATTGTGCACGTGGTTGCCATGAGTCAGGGGTAGACTTGACAGCAGATAACAACAACAAACATTAATTCCGTTGTCCACAATATTGAAAACCTACTAGCCACTCAGGAGGAAATTTCTTTTTTTTTTTTATTTTTTATTGATGTAATTAAGTGAAGTTTACATTTCAAGTTAGTCTCCTATACAGAATTTTTTTTTAACATACATTGTTATGAGACCCCAACCACTCACCCCATTCTGTGACAGCATACTCCTCCCCTTTGCCCCTGATTCCCCATGAACATTCAACCAGCTCCTAACTCTCTCTGCCTTCCTCTCTCACCTCTGGACAGAAGCCGCCCCTTTGGTCTCATATCTACTTGTCTAAGAGGCACATTCTTCACGAGTATCACTTTATGCCCCACAGTCCAGTCTAATCCCTGTCTGAAGAGTTGGCCTTGGAAATTGTTTTAGTTCTGG